AGAGAAGCAGGCTCCCTGCTGAGCAGAGAGCCCGATGTGGGACTCGATCCCAGGACCCTGAGATCATGACCTGAGCCGAAGGCAGCGGCTTAACCCACTGAGCCACCCAGGCGCCCCATAAAATGATAATCTTCAAGAGGGAAGTCTTCCCAATGGAGGCCAGCATGTGTATTTTGTCATTTTTTGCTTTTCTTGATATTTCATAGGTGAGGGCCCATAAATTGTGGGAGTCTACTTTTCAGCCAGACTGCTGTCCATCTCCTAAATTCAAATAACTATTTGATTACCATTATGTAGTTTTTACTTATTTGATATTCATTTTACTTTGATGACACTAATGAGACAAAATCAAATACTATATAAAACCACAGGGGAAAAGTGATTGATAGAAATAAATGTCTCATTATTTAAGGTGCAATCCAGAGTTGCTGTGTAGCTTATTTATTACTATGCTAAATTTGTATTTGTTCATTTTTGCTAAGTTTTCTTATTAATATCAAAATAATGCATTTTTAGCAATTAATAGCTCAGCATCTCCAATACATTAAAAGGAAGTGCCATTTAATATGGAGTGGCAGAACACTCCCATCTTTTCTTTGCATCAATGTTTAATACTCTCCAATATAGTTTAGAATAATCAAAGGCAGAGGATACAAAAGCATGATATGCCTCAATGAAATCTAATTGTTGATTTTTAATGTATAATAGCTGCTGAGAAAATAAAATACACATTATTCAACACACTGGATAATAAGCATATTTTGTAAATACAAAATAACTGATATTTCCATTTACCTTTCTAAAAATTTTTTTCTATTTTTCCGGAGAATTTGAAAAACTAAGAGAGGCCTAGGGTGCCTGGGTGGCTCAGTGGGTTAAAGCCTCTGCCTTCGGCTAGGGTCATGGTCTCAGAGTCTTGGGATCAAGCCCCACATCAGGCTCTCTGCTCAGCTGGGAGCCTGCTTCCTCCTCTCTCTCTCTCTCTCTCTCTCTGCCTGCCTCTCCCCCTACTTGGGATCTCCGTCTGTCAAATAAATAAATAAAATCTTAAAAAAAAAAAGAAAGAAAAACTAAGAGAGGCCTAATAATGACACTGAAGGCTTAGATGGTAGAGCAGCCCAATTGCAGATACTGTACCGTATGCTCCATATTATACTACCCTGACTTTGAGAGTTGTATTGGAAGCCTGAGACTATGGTGGTATAAATAACAGAAAGAAATATTAGTGTGATAAATTTGATTTATCACAAATATGATTGTGCAAAGCCATATTTGCTAAGAAGTTAGAAGGAATAAGGAAATACTTAAAGCCCAACCTAAAGCAAACTTACTCTATTTTACTTAGCATATACCATTGAGGAAGCTGAACTACTGCAGAATTCTATTCCAAATGCACTGCTAATTTCATTGCTAATTTCACAGATATTTTGGGTCTGAGAGTGGGGAAGCTATTGATCATAGTTGCTGTCTGGGGGCAGGGAGTGTATATGAGGGGATAAGTAATATTTCTAAAGATAAAAATCAGCATTCTCAAACCAACAGATTCAGGATTTGCTACTAAATGGAAATTGGGGTGCACGTGGGTGGCTCAGTGGGTTAAGCGTCCAACTCTTGATTTTGGCACAGGTCATGATCTGAGGGTCATGAGATTGAGCCCGGTATTGGGCTCGGCCCTGGGCATCGAGCCTGCTTAAGCTATCTAAGTAAATACATAAATAGAAATTGGATCCAGAGTTGGTATACAGATTGAGACATAGATGCTGAATTTGTAGTTGCCAAAGTAAAATCCTTTGCATTTTTCTGAGTTGAGATTCACAGATATAACTAATTTACCAGTGTTCTTAGACTTGAGAATGCTGCCAGAAATCCAATAGAGCATTCATGTAGCAACCAGAGTCCATAAAGATGGCAGGACTTTGATATAAACAATAGTATTCATAAGTATACCTTGAATGCCTATCCCCATGTCTACTCTTGACAACTGCCAGAACAATGGGGGCAGGAAATATCCAAAACTGGAATGTCAGATTTCTCAGTGAAAAGAAATAGATTGAGTTTAATTTAAGAATAACAGTATTGGATGGTCACTACTGTTGGCCAGATCCAAGTCTGCACTGGTCTTCATCAGAAAAGTTGCTGGTTGTCAGTTATTTTGCCCAGCTGTATTATAAAGTATTAATCCCAGAAGTCTTCCCTCCCTGGCTGCCACGTTGTTTGTCAGAGATTTGGATATAAGATATAACAAAGAAATATCTTTAAGTAGTTTTTTTGGGTTACTAAAGACTTAATGAAAACTTCTAATAAAGCATAGATATTGGTTTTTAAAAACCCACGAATAAAACCCATAGATTCTAAAGCGATATTGAAGAACAGTGTGTATTCCAAGATCATCAATCATGAAAGACTTTCTGGAAAACATACTGTCCTGATGTGAAAAAAAAAAAAAACAGTCCATCCCTGGGGCACCTGGCTGCCTCAGTTAAGCATCCAACTCTTGCCAGTACCAGGCAAGATACTTATTTCACAAAGCTCAAGCAAACAGAATTTCAAAATAAAGGTGACTCAAGCAGGGGAAATGAAGAAGCTATTTTCTTTCCCCAGAACGAATATGCAACTAATGGTTTGGAAAGGGAAACTTGCATAAATATCTTGATAGATTATGGAAAAACTTAGTTGTTTGTATCCTTAATAGAGTCAAAAGCAAATTAAGTGTTACAACAGTCCCATAGTTTCCACCTTAAGTGCCAGAACACTCCCTATAAAATGAGTTTAATATTTTGGGATTACTGTGATATTAATATAAGTATAGTCATGAAAATAATAATATCAAAATACAAGTAGGCATTTATTTTCTAAATGTTAAGAAAAGGAATCTGTGATTGCCTGGTATTTTTTTTACCCAATTGCAGAAAATAAATGGGCGATCTAAAAAGTATTATACCATTATAACATTTAATAAATCATCCATTCCAATTTTCTGGAAATTACAGGGGATAGAGGAACAGGTTAAATGATACCACAAGGAAATAAACAGACAAATTCAGAATGTAGAACATCTTACAAGACAACAGGTCTGGATACTTTAAAGAATTCAGTATCATAAAATGGGACTGTTCCAGAATAAATAGATTCAATACCTAATACAATCCTGAAACTTGGTTTAAAAATGAATTTTCTAAGACATTATTTATAATAAGTGGTTAAAAAATATGTTTGTAAAAGGATCTCAGGAGCACATATGAGTCCTTATCAAAACTGAATAAAACTGAGAAAGAATAATAGAAAAAGAATAAGATTTAATGGGGACTGGAATAATATCATGGAATAATAGAATAGAATAATAGAATAATAGAAAAAGAATAAGATTTAATGGGGACTGGAATAATATCATGGAATCATTGTTAATTTTGTTAAGTGTGCTGGTGGGATCATGATTATGTAGGATAATGTCCTTAGACTTAGGAGATGTCTTCTGAAATATTTAGAGGTGAAGTGAAGGTATTTGTAAGTAGAATTAAAATTTAAAAATATACAGATAGAACAAATATGGTAAAAAAATTTTTCAAATTTGGATGCAGGGTAGAAGTATGTTTAATTCTTTTAACTTTTCTATATATTAGAAACATTTCTCAATACAAATATTGAACTTTTTTATCAGAATGAGAGAAAGAGCACAAGTGGGGAAGAGGGGCAAAGTAAGAGAGAGAGAGAAACTTAACAGGCTCCACATCCAGCATGGAACCTGATGTTTTTTTGGATCTCACAACCCTAAGATTATGACCTGAACATAAATCAAGAGGCACTTAACCAACTGAGCCACTCAGGTTACCCCAAATATTTAATTAATAGACTTAATTTTTTAGAGCAGTTTTGGGTTTTATAGAAAATTGAGCAGATATTACAAAGAGTTCCCATATAACCATAGTTCCCTAGTATTAACACCTTGCATTAGTGGGGTACATTTATTATAATTAATTAACCAATATTGATCCATTATTATTAACTAGAGTCTGTAGTTTAGAGTTTATTCTTTGTGTTTTATGGGTTTTGACAAATACATACTGCTATGTATTTACTGTTACAGTATCATAGAGAAACTATGCCTCCCAGATATCCTGTGTTTTACCTCTTAATTCACCTCCTCCTTCCATCTGGCAACTACTAATCTTCTTAATTTATCTTTTGCCTTTTCCAGAATGTCACGTAGTTGCAAGTAATTGAGTATGTGCCTTTTCAGACTGGTTTCTTTCACTAAGCAATATGCATTTAAATTTCCTCCATGTCTTTTCTGGGTTGAAAACTCACTTCTTTCATGAAATATTTTAAATACAAAAAAGATAGACATTTTAAACACCTAACAGCAAATTGCAACATATATATCTTATTTGGTACCTGATTTAACAAAGTATCTCTAAGAAGATATTTTAAAAAGATAATTGGGGAAAATTCAATACTTGCTATTTGCTATTATGAAATTATTACCATTGCTAGATGTGATAACTGATTTGAGGTTCTGTTAAAAATGCCCTTATCTGTTAGAACATAAAATAAAAATGTTGATACATTCACATGAAGAAATTTTCCAACTATTTTTGGAGATTTTCGTGTGGCCCAAATGTGTCGAATTTTAGGAAAATGTTAAGTGAGAGTGGTGCAAGAGAGACACAGGAGTAAGAACAATATTTCACATCCATGAGAAAGTTATTTGAATACTGAGCTTTCCCTGAGTTTGTATAGTTTTCTGTTTCTCTTGAGCACGAAGATGGTAACCTAGCCACCACCCATACGCACACATGCCCAATCTCTAAATAAACTGGAACCTGCCTACTCAAAGCCTTCTTTCATCCTGGGACTGAAGTTACTCCCTTTCAGTTTCTCAAGTTGGTGTTTTCCAATTTAAAAAAAAAAATGCCCCTTCGATCTGTGAGAAAACTGGAATGGAAATGCCATGGTCACTATGGGTGCAATGAAAAAGTCTTTGGAAATACAGATAAAAGGTTGAGACACTACATGAAAATACTCCATTTAGATTGGCATCTGTCTGAAAGGAGTAGGATGTTAATGTTTTGGATAAAATAAACACTCGGAAAGGACGCGGGGTGGCGCTGCAGCATTAAAAGTAGAACGAAGAGAGAAAGCTGCCAGCCGGCACTCCTTAACCCAGATGCTGTGCTAAAGAAACAAGCAGGAAGGGGAGGCTTTCTAAGGTGTTTCCAACGGGAAATCGGGGTCCTAGGCGTCTCCACTTATGACCGTACCCGCAAGATACTAGATGATAGAGTCAGCCACGACGCGAGCTGAGACTGGGTCAAGTTTGCTGGGAGACCAGAAAGCGATGGAGGCCGGAGAGGGAAAAGAACGCTTTCTGAGACAAAGGCAAGTCTTTATATTCTTTGTTTTGCTGGGCATAGCTCAGGCTGCTTCTGAGCCTAGGCACTACTCAGTGGCTGAGGAAACGGAGAGTGGCTCTCTTGTGGCCAATTTGTTAAAAGACCTGGGGCTGGAGGTAAATGAGCTAGCTGCACGGGGGGCTCGAGTCATTTCCAAAGGGAAAAAAACGCGTTTGCATTTTGATAGGCAGACCGGGGATTTGTTGTTAAATGAGAAATTGGACCGGGAGGAACTGTGCGGCCTTACCGAGCCATGCGTGCTACCTTTCCAGATGTTACTGGAAAATCCCTTGCAGTTTTTTCAGGCTGCGCTACGGATTAGGGATATAAATGATCATTCCCCGGTGTTCCTAGACAAAGAAATAATTTTGAAAATTTCAGAAAGTGTCACTCCCGGAACTACTTTCCTGATAGAACGTGCCCAGGATTTAGATGTAGGAAGCAACAGTCTCCAAAGTTACACAGTCAGCCCCAATTCCCATTTCCATCTTAAATTACAAGACAGTCCTAACGGCATATTACCACAGCTGGTATTGGACAAAGCTCTGGATCGCGAGGAACAGGCTGAGATCAGATTAACTCTCACAGCATTGGATGGCGGGACTCCACCCAGGACTGGCACTGCCTTGGTTCGCATCGAAGTCTTAGACATCAATGATAATGCCCCCGAGTTTGCAAAGCAGTTTTATAAGGTGCAGGTTCAGGAAAACAGCCCCATTGGATTTCCGGTTGTCATAGTCTCTGCTAGCGATTTGGACATTGGAACGTATGGAGAAATATCTTACGTATTTTCCCAAGCCTCTGAAGATATCCGCAAAACTTTTCAAATAAATGCAAAGTCAGGAGAACTCTTTTTAACACAGAAACTGGATTTCGAATCCACTCAGACTTACACATTAAATGTTCAGGCTACAGACGGTGGAGGACTTTCTGGAAGTTGCGTGGTGTTTGTCCAAGTGATGGATTTGAATGACAATCCTCCGGAACTGACTATGTCAACATTCATCGATCACATCCCAGAAAACTTGGAGGAGACCATAATTGCTGTATTCAGGGTTTCAGATCCTGACTCTGGAGACAATGGAAGAATGGTTTGCTCCATTCCAGATGATCTCCCTTTCTTCCTTAAACCTTCTGTTGAGAATTTTTACACCCTAGTGACAAACACAGCTCTGGACCGAGAGACAAGAGCCGAGTACAACATCACCATCACCGTCACCGACCTGGGGACCCCCAG